GGTGCTGCTGAGGGTCTTCAATGTGTGATCCGGAGAATAGTCCTTTATTCTGCAGTAGATGCAGCGTGTTGTTGGTTATCTGGAAGGTCTCCGCTTGAATTGCGGGCACAACTATGGCAGTGGCCAAGTTATCAGCTGTGGGTTGTGCCCAGTCATAAAGTGCAGCTTCAGGCACAAGGGGTGCCATTACTCTTACATTGGGGTTTGCCGGCAGATCCCTAACGTTTCCAATGTTGTTTTCTGCGTCACCCATGTTAATTTCGAGCTGGTGTGACTGATGTGATTGTTGGAGCCTCTTGTTAGCACGGTTCAATGCCCTGAATGTTTTCTCGGGGTCTGAAAGTCCTTCTAGCAGTTCTCCAGTCCTCGAGGAACTTCTAGGCATACACCTGATTTTCACAAGAGTTCAAACGTTAGAATTTCAATGAACAGATTGGGTATAGAGAAAACTAACTACACTAAGAATTTTTGTACTTCTATCAATTGTAATTGATAACACCGTCAATTCCCCGGCAACGACGCCAAAATTTGATAACGCCAAATTATGCCTTATAAAAAGACACACACAGACGTAGCAAATATAGTTTGAGTAATTCTGCCCAGAGTCGAACCACAGAGAATTAACGTATCAAGTACTCTTATCAGACTTACTAAATTCACACAATCACTTTCCCCAAACTTTGTGATTCATAGTTGATGATATATTTAACAACTAAACTGAAAATAAATAAAGCTGAAAGTTAACTAAGCTTGCTTGTATATAATTGGAATAAGGTCTAAGGTTATGGTTTCCCCCGTTGTTGATTTCCTTGGTTGAATATGTTTTATAACTGAGACTTAGTTGTCTCTATCAATCACGAACGCTCCTTCTATCATAAATCTTTCTCAAGCAATTATGATAATATACTAGACGCACTTTCTCAAGCTACGCTAGCTAGATTCACAATACGGTTCACTTAGATTGCATCTGAGGTATCATTATCTCTAATCCTACCTCTAAACCCTCGGTTATGACTCTCGTCTATACTCCGGGAGTGATGTTGTTCATACAATCACCTAAATATGCACTCTCTCTCAAGCAGATACACACTAAATAGGGACGGATAATTGAGGGCCCTTTCAATTAACCACAATCAAAACGTAGATGAACAAATAGAGATTAACAACCAATTCAAAACTATATTAATATAACAACCAAGTCATCCCCAACGAGTTTCACCAATACCTTAGATTAAAGTATGTAGCTACTCATGACAATAACAAAAATCACAAAAGAATTCATATTCAAAGGTAAAAGGACAAAGAAGAAGATTAAAGATTGATGCCCAATGATCCTCCTTGCCTCTTGCCCTTTCTTCTGATGTTTTTCACTTCCAAAAAATCGTTCTCCCCCTTCTTGGCCGACTTCCTTCGTTTAATATAGGGTTTAGGGCTTAAAATCCCGTGTTTTGCACTTTGGTCCTTGAAGTTTACGCGTCCTGCCGCGGTCCTACCGCGGTTACGCCAGGACCGCGGACAGAGTGGCCTTCAGAATCTGCAGCAGTGTTCTGCCGCGGTCCTACCGCGGTTACGCCCGGACAGCGGCAGACCAGCTTCAGTTCTGGTTTTGTCCCTTCGCTTGGTGCACTTTGTAGATATTGTATGATTGGCCTCCTTTTCTCCATAATTGATCCCAAAAGTACTCCACAGACTTCTTTTATTGGTTATAGCCTGCAAAGCATGAAAAGCACTAATCAGAGTATTTTATTATCACTTTTTACTGTAAAAGCTATACAAAAATGTGGTTCTTTAGGACCTAATTATAGTCTAATTTATCTATTATCAAGAGTCCTTAAATTTATTTAATATAATAGAGTAGGAGATTGTTTTTAATTGATTGGGTTCTTTTTTAACTGACATGTCTTGTTTTTTTATTTTGTTATAGTAATTGCTTATATCTGATGTGTATAATTACAGGAGGTGTCATATATATTTTAAGTAATTAAATTATCCACGTGACGGTGCTAGAGAACACGGGCAGAGAGAAACTTTTTCAAAGTTTGAGACAGAAGTGTCTAATATGAACATTTTATGATGTTTAGATGCTCAATCGGAATAAGCCAGAGGTCGAGTATCTAAATAAAATATACGAACAAGTTTAAGCGGCTCTCACTGTCTTCCGCCTATACTAGCAGGCGTCTTTAAAGGTAGGTCCAGGGAGTTAGCAGAAGTGTACTCTATATCAATCTGTTATATATAGGAACAAATATTTCTCACCGATCGAGTATGCTTCAAATCGTTGCCAAACATACAGCAATAAATATTTAAGGCACATCAACTATGAATTCAAATATGCTGCTGTTTTTAGTTTGTCCTTGATAAGAAATAGTAAAATAGAAAATTCTGATACCAAATTGTTTGTGCTGATTCTAGCAAAACTGCTTTGCAAAACAATAAAAGATAGATGCTTGTTGTCACTTGTTTAGGTGGTTCCTTCGAACCGAGATGCTCTTTTCCGTTGCAGTGATCAGTTGAGTAGTAAGGAAGTATAGTTTCTCAAGTGTTCAACAAGAAAACAGAGATCCTTTGAGTTGCCAAGATGAAGTTCATGAAACAATCTCCTACTCAGTCAGAAGGGATCCAATGGATCCAAGCCTGATGCCTTTCAGTCAGAAGGGAACAATGTCAGATATGTTGCTTCTGAGTTGGCCCCGGACATCACGGCTAATGTCGGAGACGTATATCAAGCGCGTAGCAGGTATTAAAAGCATGGATATAATTTTGCCTAAATGTTTGTCTTATCTAATAATTATATGCTCCAAAATAATAGATGGCAAAAAGGAATTAAGGAAAAAGGTTATGTGCAAGATTCATTAGGAAGTCAGAGAAGTTAGAAAATGAATGTTACTCCTAACATATTCATTTGCTTTCTTTTTTCTTTGTATTTCGTGGGTGTTTACTGTACTGATATGCAACTAACAGATTGTCAAAGAATGTTAAAAGAAATTGTTTCATTGTATAGAAAATAGATAATCTTTGCTTTTATTGTAATTATTTCTCGTGCATTTGCATATGAGAAGGTTTGATTTTTGCAAAATAATTTCATTAGTTATATTTGGTCCAGACATAATTGATTGGTAGATATTAAAAAAAAGCTTAATTTTGTTTGATTTAGGGTCGACAATTAGTGCTACCGGAAAAAGTCATGTTTTGGCCAAGCTTTTCCAAGGTCAAAAGTACTTTTTTATATTTTTAAAAAGTATTTTTTTTTCAAAGTTGAGGTGTTTGGCCAAGCTTCTAGGAAAAAAAAGTTTTTTTGAATAGAAGCAGAATCAGTTTTTGAGAAGCAGAAAAAAGTTGTTCTCCCAAAAGCACTTTTGAGAAAAACACACTTAGAAGCCGTTTCTAAAAGCTTGGCCAAACACTAATTGATGCGCAAAAGTGCTTTTCAAATTGATTAGTCAAACACAAACTATTTTTCACCAAAAGTACTTTTTTGAATAGCACTTTTAGAAAAAAATATTTTTCAAAATAAATTGATTTTAGAAACTTGGCCAAAAAGGCTATAAATTGTGTTCAACCATTTTTTACCTGGATAAACTCATCTTTATTATGAGTTGAACTCATATTTTAAAACCATGTTTAGAATGTGTTGAGATGCTTGGATTTCTTAGAGATGAATAACCTTAGATGAATTCAAATGTTGTATTTGGTACTATTCATGCTTTCTTATTGTATTAGGTGAAAGTTTGATTTGATAACGAAAAGAACATAATTATTTCAAAGCATCAAATTTGCCCAGCGATTTCCGCATCTGCGGTCTCCAAGTCGCTTCTGCGACGACGCACCTGCTGGAAAGCCATCGCAGGTGCGGTTTTCACTTAACTCTGAAAATACCGCTTCTGCGGTCAACACCCGCATCTGCGGTCTCGCAGGTGCGGTCCTTTGTGCGCACCTGCGGATTTGCCTCAGCTTCCAATCCTTCGCATCTGCGACCTCGCACCTGCGGTCCCTAATCCGCAGGTGTGGAAATGACAGAATCAGCAACTTCAACTGCTCAAACCAAGTTCCAAACTTTCCGTTAACCATCCGAATTCATCCCGAGGCCCTCGGGGCTCCAACCAAAAATACCAACAAGTCATATACCACTATTCAAACTTACTCCAACCTTCGGAACACCCAGAACGGCATCGGAACACCAAATCACCCTCGGATTCAAGCCTAAGAATTTCCGAACTTCCGAATTTCACAAACGATGCAAAAACCTATCAAACCTCATCCGAATGACCTGAATTTTGCACACACGTCACAAAATGGCAAGCGGTCCTACTCCAATTTTCGGAATTCCATTCCGACCCCGATATCAAGATTTCCACTGTCGACCGGAAAACGCCAAATTTCCCATTTCGCTAATTCAAGCCTAAATCTACCACGGACCTCCAAAATACATTCGGAACACGCTCCTAAGTCCAAAATCACCTAACGAAGCTATCCGAACCATCAAAATTCACATCCGACACATTCTACACATAAGTCAATATCCGTTTGACTTTTTCCAACTTAAGCTCCTAAATTAGAGACTAAGTGTCTCATTTCACCCCAAGACCACTCCGAACACAGAACAACCAACACGATATAATGAAATATAGCTGAACAACACATAAAAGAGCAGAAATGGGGGAAACGGAGCTGTAACTCATGAAACGATCGGCCGGGTCGTTACACTTGTACAAGAAGTTATATAAATGTAGATGACTCATGCAAAGATTACAAATGTAATTAGCTGCATTCTTTGATTCTGTAGGCCTAAGATTAGGTGCTCTTTAGTTTGTAAATTGTTCTTTGGTTAATGGTTATCAATGGTAATGTTTACAGTGTTACCAAAAAAAATGAAGGGGAAATAGATCGTAAACTGATGAATATTTTCAATAATATCCAAATATATATAATTGGTTTCACTTGTATTTTTATGTTTTTTTTTTTTTTTTTTTTTAAATTGAGAACAACGTCTGGTGGTGCGACCCTATAATTCGAACTTAAAAATTTTATGTATTGAGTCGAGGCCTCCCCGCTTAACCCCCTTACGAATCCTAACTTGAGAATTGGCAAGTTATGCTCACAAATTATTAAAAATGCAGCCTGCACTTAAAAATCAATCGACAAGGCAATTATTAAGAACTTTCAGTTCATGGTCTTTTGCCATTAAAAATGCAAAATCACCTCAAAGAGCCTTGTCACTCTACGTTCAAATGCAACGCCAAGCCATTCCCTTCGACAGTTTCGCCATTCTTTTCACTCTTAAATCATGCACCCAGTTGCGCAACCTTTCCCTCATATGCCACCTACATGCCCATCTCCTCAAATTAGGCTTTAATATCCACGTGTATGTTGCCACCTCTCTGCTTAATGCATATGCTGTAAACTCGTTTGACTGTGCATACAAGCTGTTCGATGAAATTCCCGTGAGAAATACTGTCACGTGGAACACGATAATAACTTGCTTTTCTCGTTCCGGGGATGTTAAAGGAGCGAGGAAGATGTTCGATCAGATGCCTTTGAGAGACCTAGCTTCGTGGTCGGCAATGATAGCTGGATACATGAACAATGGGCATTGGGAGGAAGGTGTGGCGCTCTTCCAAGAAATGGTTATGTTTGAACAACTAAAGCCTGATCAAGTGACCATTGGGCCAATATTGGCGGGCTGTTCTGAAATGGGTTCAATTGGTTTGCTCCTTGGGAAATCAGTGCATAGTTTTGTCGTGAAGAATCATTGGGAACTTAATGTTGAGCTTGGTACTTGTTTAGTAGACATGTATGCTAAATGTGGATTCTTGAATTTTGCTTCTCTGGTTTTCGATATGATGAAAGACAGAAATGTCGTTACTTGGACTGCTTTAATTTGTGGAGCAGCAAAACATGGTTTTGGAACTGAAGCTTTGGAGATATTCAAGAAAATGAGACAAGGGGGTGTGCTACCTAACGAGTTTACGTTCACTGGGGTACTTAGTGCTTGTGTACAAGCAGGGCTGGTCGATGAAGGTCGTGGATATTTCAAAATGATCAAAGAGTGTGGACTGAGACCAACAATTCAGCATTATGGCTGCATGGTTGATTTATTTGGGAAGGCTGGGTTGTTAGGGGAAGCATATGAAGTTATCAATACTATGTCACCCGAGCCTAACATAGTTATTTGGGGTTCCTTTTTGTCATCTTGCAAGTTGCATAAACAATTTGAGATGGCAGAGCGAGTGATTGAGAGGGTCATGAATGTGGTGAGGCCAGAGAACGATGGAGGGGTTTATACCCTTATCTCAGACTTGTATGTTTTGGGTGGTAAATGGGCAGAAGCCGAGAGGGTGAGGCAGTTGATGCTCCATCAACATGTGAGGAAAGCCAGAGGATGTAGTTTTATACGAAATAATACAATATGAAGTATTAAACAGCAGCAGATTCTTGTTTAGATAATGCTCTGGTCAAGAAAGTTTTTATTTCTTCTTTCTGTTCTTGAAGTGACTTTCACCGACAGTAGAATTAGGAAGGCGGAGGAATTATCATGCTAAGACGAAGAAAGAAGCAACTTGTAATTGCAGAAAAAACTAAGTTACTGGAAAAAAGATGCCACATGTAGGAAGGTGGCATGTCTCCCTTCTTCCTCACACAAAAGTATAATTCTTGTATTTATGCCCCAATGACGCCAATTGAATCTATATGGTTCTTTAGCAGAATGTGGAAGATCATGAAAGGTCGAAATCAGTATTTCATCATTGTCAATGCTCCACTTAGCTAAAGCGTCTACAACGTGATCAGCCTCCCTATAACAATGACGAATAACACAATTTAGTTGCCTGGTAATATCTTGAATGTGCTTGATAACGTCCCAAAACTGCTATGGAGGTTGGAATTTCCTCTAAATCATCTCTATAACCAACAAAGAGTCATATTCTAGTAAAATGTTGTGGATCTTATTCTGAATACACCAATTCATCTCAAATAGGACTGCCTTTGCTTTTGCCGTATTACTACAGTTTCTGCCAATTGGAGAAGCAAAAGTCATGATGAAGCTTCCCCTCTGATCCCTGCAAATACCTCCAATACCTCTATACCAGCATATCCTTCTGGATTTTTGCTACCATCTGTATTGATTTTAAACCAAGATTCTGCAGGCTTGTCCCATTTAACAACTTTTCATTCAATCCTGTGATTAAGCTGCAAAATCTATTGACAAGTAGCACTCCAGCCTGCGGAAATCTCCATTTCACTTATCTTTGAAAACCAACCATTTGACATGTAGCAAAATCTGATCGACTACTCTTTTCAGATAGATTCTGGAATCTCAGCATCTGACCTTCATCATATCTCCCAACAAATTACCATTGGAATAATTAATTTGGAGAATAGTATGGTAAATGCTGGAGTATTAATTCTTTGACTTGACATCCCACCACCATTGAATCATGATCCTGATAGGGATATATCCCATCTAACTCGCCAATGAATTTCCAAAAAAAATCGTTTCAACTTCTTAAACTTGAAGTATACCGTCTTCTTATAATTATTTCGACAAGCTAACAAGCTATAAATGTTGCTCATAACTAGTTGGGGATTGAGTCGATATAGTTGTCAACAAGTTATCTGGAGTATCTTTTTGGAAGCTGAAAAAGAGAGTGTAGAATCCCATAAACTGTGAATAATAAATGGGATTTTTACATTCCTATGCCATATATGATACCTTATTACCCTCAATGTTTAAGGTTTGATTTAATTACAAACCCGTATACCAAATTACCAATCCTATACAATAATTAATTAAGGGTCTAATTAATGGGCAGTTTTTACTCCTTAATTAACCACGTTTCTCTCTCCTAACCCATCACCCCCCACCCACGTTTTTACCCATACCCCTCATAGTTTAATTGTAATCTTTATAATCCATTTAACTGGTACTATATTCCAAGTTAACCTGTCGCCATTCCACCATATGGACTTAAGATCACTTCTGCTCCTTCAGCTCCATTTTCAAAGAACAATCTCCATAATCCTTCGAGACCTCCCTCGGGGATTGGCATCTGAACATAGTCTGATCCTTCTTCTCTTTTTAATCCTAATTCAGGGAAGCTTTCTTGCATGATTTGAAGTAATCGATCAACTCCATCGAGGAATATGGAATTGAATGAAGCTACGGCTGTTTGTTTGTTATCTCCTTCACTTGAGTTCACTCTACTAATCAAGATCCTAATGAACAAATCTTCATGGAAAAATTTGTAGTCAACATTTTTTTCCAACATTGATTGTAGTTTAATTGTAGTATACATGTAGTAATTTTGTAGATACCCTTAAAAACAATACTGCTTTATACAATACTTAAATTAATTTGTAGTTTATTTGTGGATGTTTTGTAGAAAATTTGTAGATGAAGAGAAACTTTTGTAGTCAACATTTTTTTCAACATAGATTGTAGTTTAATTGTAGTATAAATGTAGTAATTTTGTAGATACCCTTAAAAACAATACTGCTTTATACACACGTAAACTGATTTGTAGTTTATTTGTACATTTTTTGTAGAAAGTTTGTAGATGAGGAGAAAATTTTGTAGTCAACATTTTTTTTCAACATAGATTGCAGTTTAATTGTAGTATAAATGTAGTAACTTGTAGATACCCCTTTAAAACAATATTGCTTTATACATACTTAAACTGATTTGTAGTTTATTTGTAGATTTTTTTGTAGAAAATTTGTTGACCCAAGCAGCTGCGCATCAGCTCACTCCCGTCAAGAACAAGAGCTCCTCCCTTTCCCTCATGGAAACCAGCCAACTTCAGCCATGAAAAAACCAGACTAATATTTTTTCAAGGGGCATGATTTTAATTTAAGAAAACCATAAATGCCTAAATGAGAAGAGAATTCCAAATAATACTTTCTTTATTCGTCGTCGTTGAAATGTTCAAAGGAGTAGCCTGCGCCATGGAAGTCAAGCAACTCAAACAACTGGTTCATGCGTCAAATCAGAAGCTTCCCACAATTTAATCCGTGAAGAATAGTTTGTTAGTAGGGGGGATGAATCTGATGTGAATATGAAAAAATATCTAGTCCCAAATTTGCAGGCGCCTAATTTGGAAGGAATAAGCTATTCAAATATTTATCCTAGATTTGTAGGCACCTAATTTGGAAGGAATCAGCTCTTAATATTGGCTATTTAATGGATGGTATAAATTTTGTAGGAAAAATATAAACATGGCGGGTAATAATGCAAATATACACATTTTTGGTAAAAAGGTTTCATATATGGTATAGTTAGGAAAAAATCCCTTATTAATTCGTTAATGTGTTTTTTTAAGTTATTATGGGTGTCATGCAGGAACAGGGGCGGATTTAGGGGGCGCAAGGGTGTTCACCCGAACACCCTTCGCCGAAAAATTACACTGTATATATAAGACAAAATCTGTTTTTTACCTTTATATATTAAGTTTTGAACACCCTTAACACAATCCAAAAGTGTAGTTTAGTGGTTAAGGGGGTTCAAAATTTACTTAAGGTCATGGGTTCAGTTCCCACTAGCTACAAAAAATTTTTTTGAACCCCCTTCGTGGAGATCCTGCCTCCGCCACAGGAATGATGCCATTATCTGAAAACTCGATTTTTCGACTGAAACTTTCGTAAGAAAATAATTTTAGTAAAGTTGTATACACTAAACTAGTTTTGATTCACTGCGCGTCCCTCGATCTTCGTCATATCGCGAAATTTTTTTATTGCAAAATGTAGGAAAATATTTTCTGATTTAATGATTTTTTAATTATTTGTTCAACTTTTTTATGGAGAAGGTATGTTCAATGATTTGTTGAATCAAGTTTTCCAAGAAAAGGCTGTTTCAAGAAGTTTATATATGCAACTTGCAGGATGTTAAGTTCTGAAATTTAGAGCTAGCTCGTGATCTGATTTAAGCTGACAAACGACACGTTTTCCTTTCTTTGGTTTATGGGATTAACTATCTTTTCCATTTATTGTGAAAAAACCTGTTAATTTAGAAATTTCATATTTGACGCATTAATGGAATTAAGTTAAAGTAAAAACTTGTGAATCAAAACGAAGGAAGTACGTTAATTATTCTTTAATTTCTTTTCTTCTGTTAAAATAATTTCTTTTCTTCTGTTAAAAAAACTACTGACTAGAAATTTCCTATTGGATGACACTACTAGAAATTTGCTAAATACCGACCAGAAAAACCGACAAACTTTGGTCGGTTATGGCCAATTACCGACCAAAATGCGGCCAAATGCCTTGGCCGTTATTTTGATGGTCGTTTTAATATACCGATCAATGTTGGTCGGTATACTAAAACGACCATATGAAGAATTTAAATGATTTACCGACCAACTTTGGTCGGAGACATATTTTATTAATTTAATTTTACCGACCAAAGTTGGTCGGTGTAATTAATTTATGTTTTTTTCATTAATTATTAAAAAAAATAACCGACCAAAGTTGGTCGGTAAATGAAAATATATATTTTAAAAAAAATTAAAATTTAACAATACCGACCAAAGTTGGTCGGTAATGTGAAATTCTGGGAATTCCTTGTTCATTAACCGACCAACTTTGGTCGATAATAGTCAATTATTTTTTAATGAATACCGACCAACTTTGGTTGATTTTTCTGGGTTTAATTTTGGCATAAAATGCCTGTTTTGGTAGCTACACCACCTGCCAGCATACCAATACAGCAACAGAACAACAACACAGCATCAACAACACAACAACAACAACACAACAACACAACAACAACCAAACATTCAATAAATACTTAAAATTAACAAATTAAAGTTCAATTGAACATAACAATCCAAAACCAAGTTAAAACTAATTACAACAAGTTCACAACTGCTTCTATTTGTCTAGTTCAAAGTATATAAAAGTCAAGGGGTGTTTTGTACAACATCATTATCACCGTATGATGATGAACTTTCATCTACAAGACGATACAGAAAAGGGTCTTGTGGAGGATGGGAAGAACGATCATGGGGAGGACAGGAGGAATGATCACGAGCAGGACGGGAGGAACGATCACGAGCAGGACGGGAGGAACGATCACGTGGAGGTCGAACCTCTGGCGATGACTCACGAGACCGGGGCAACGGAAAAGCTCCAGTAGATAGGAGAGTTCTAATATTAGCTTGCATGCCAAGGAATTTAGCATCTCTAATCCTTTCTCTTTCCTTGGCCGCTTCTAGCTTGGATGTGAGATTTGTGACAGTCTCCCACATAGCGGAGAGGCTCTCCCCATTAAGTTGCTCGCCTTGCGAGGAATTCCCTATTCCTTGCATTCCACACCTATAGCGATGGAACTTTTTTGAAGGAAGCCCGTATACCTTCCCCCATTTTGGATAGCCAACAGACTCCAACCATATTCTTTCAGCATCCTCGTCCGAAGGTTGGGTTGGCTCGCCCGATTCACCAGCTGGATGACTGCGAATGAATTCCTCCACGTTACTTTTGTAGCGACCCTATATTATTTTAAATTGAATCAGTATTTCAAAATTTATATAAAAGTAAATTATAATACTTAAAGAAAAGTGAAAGCTTACATATGCAGTAGAGGCCCAGTCCTCGACCCACCTTTCTTGATCCGTCGCTTTATTCTTCTTTACAATATGCGTCTCCTTGAATAGCTCATCATGGCTCATTGGACGCCCCAACTTCTTTTCCTGAAAAAAAATTAATTTAGTTAATAAACATAATAGATATACTTTGAAAAGTAAATT